TGAAAATTCCATTTATCATAGATGATGATCTGAACATAAGGTACTGAGTATAAAAAATGATGGGGATTAGTATAGTTTTTGTTATGAAGTAGAACTTCTTGATAAAAGGGAAAATATAATAGGATATGTTTTGTTTTCAATGAAGCGCATATCAATTCTTTAAGAGAAATACTCAAAATTTTGAAAGTTTTAAGTAAACTATTTTAAAATGGTTGAGTGGTAGGCAACAATAGCATCAAAAATGTTTTACAGTTAACACAAACCAATTATATGTGCTATTTATTTTAAGAACATTCTATGAGTCACTTCTGTTTAACACTGGAGCAGAGATTTTAATCAAGCCCACTAGACAAGAAAAGAATGTTAGATCAATTAGGCAAGATAAAGAAATAAAAGGAATTCAGATTGGGAATAACATAGTAAAGCTATTTTTATTCATAGATGATATGATCTCCTATAGAGAATATCACAAGGAAATTAGAGCTTACAAATGAGCACAAAATAGTTGTAGATTAATACACAATATGCATGTCAGCATACAAAGATCAATTGTATTTCCATCACCAGCAATACCCAAATCAAAAATTAAAATCAATAAACAATCCCATTTATCAGAGCATCAAAAATAATTACAAGTATAATGAAAGAAGTACACGCTGTGTACATTGAAAACTGCATTTTGTCATTGAAAAATAATAAACAGAACATCTTGACTTCATGGATTGGAAGATAATATTTTTAAGTAGGCAATAATCCCCACTTAAATTGATCTAATAAAACATAATTCCTATCAAAATCTCAGCTGCCTTTCTCCCCCTCTGAAAACTGACAAGTTGTTCTCAAAATTCATCAATAAGTACAAACAACCCCAAAGAGAAAATGGATAGGATAATAATCGCCCAATTGCTATCACCTGGATGAGTTTCAATAAAAAACACAAATTCTTGGGGACCATCTCAAGTTTATACACTCACAAATCTAAGAGTGATGTTCAATAATTTAAAAAAAGGTTTTCATACAAATCATCATAAACAGAGTAGAAGTTGCTTGGACTTGTAAGATTTTAGTAGTATAAACAGGAGACAGCCTCAATGAAAAAGAAAATAAAGAAAACACAAGCCATCAATAATGTTTCAGTGGCAACTATTGTTCATCGGTACGCCTTTTCAGGTGAATTAGCACTGAAACCTACTTACAGAAAACCAGAAACACTAAATTTGATCAATGGAGTATTAAATACTGGCCACTTAATTCTGGAAACATCCATCAAATGATATAAACTTACATTGCTCTACTAGTGCTTAGTCATGATACCAACAGTCTCTTGAGTTTACCACAACACTAGTCAATCATATCATAGACAATGCTTAGTCTCCTGTTTTCTGTATACTGTGTTCATCTAAACTACAGGAGAGTACAAATTACCCAATCCTTTATCTGACAAGCTAAAACACCCAGGCAGAGAAAGTGAGTAGGCAAATTATGAGAATCAGGATAAGAATACAATTATTTTAGATACCTAATCTGAAACTGTTAATGGAACATACTGTTTCTCCTTCAAACATCTATAACAGACATAAATGTGCATCAAATTACATTACTCATAAAACACTGGCTGAGCATTGGCAGAGTGAATCATTTCATTTCTCAACACTTTTTGGTGGGATAGCTACTATGTGTGTGTGTGTGTGTGTGTGTGTGTGTGTGTATACACACATATTTGCATATACAAACATACACACATATAAAAAAGCACTGTTTTTTGTCTTAGATAGGTCTATTTACTTATCTATGTCAGCGTTCTACAATAGTACCTGTATAACAGACATGAATCATCAGGGCATATATATATGGTATCACATACATGCGCGCACACACACACACACACACGACCATGCAAACATATATATAAGCAAATATAAATAGATGCAAAATTTCAAACACACATTTATATATAAAATGAAAATAAATATTTCAATGGAAATTTTAATATTGAGTGTTCTAGTGTTTATCAAATAATCAATATATTTGCAGACCTATATATATATATATATAATAGTCAAGTATGAATGTATAATCCATTAATAAACCTAAAATATTCTATTCAAATACTTAATGAACATTTTTAAATTTAAATTTTGCTCTTTTCTACTTGTACATTCAGAAGATGTACTTTAAAGTGAGTTGGAACACAAACAACATAAATTTTGTATCATGAGACGAGACCCAATTATTATAAAGGAAACAGCAACGATGTCAATGTAGTCACTATGTTCATTTTAAATACTAGCATACTATAAATACTTAAACTCTGAAGTCAGAGATTTTCTTTCCTTTATAAAACTTGGATTATAAATGAAAGGCATGAAACACCAATGGTCTATGATAGAGTTAGTTTATTCCCAAAAACTGTTGGATAGGCACATAAATTGTTTTGAGCATTAAACATTTTATGATTGTTGTTATAAGCTAGCAAAACAAACACCACGGGAAGTGTTCAGTCATATTTTCTCTCAGGATAAAGACTGTTAGTTTTATTCTATGAAATAAAAGCAAATTCAAATTCCTATGCTGCAATAATTAATGAGGGACACCTATATATGTATTTCCAAATAATTGCAATTGGTTTTCTTGTTATTTTACGGAATATGAGTTCCCAGGAGAGATCAACCTGGCCTGCTTTAATTTACAGTTCCATAAATATTCTATAGTTAGTTAAGCTGAGAACAGTGCCCTTATGATTCAGATTGTCAGGAATATGCCATCTTTCCCTTTCCTCTGTAAAACAATGTATTCTTTTCATGAAGAACAGTAAGATACTAAAAAAAAAAACAACAAACTAGCTTAGTATTTATTAGGATTCATGTCTGTTATGCAGACACTATTGTAGAACACTGATATAGTTAAGTATATAGACCAATCTAAGACAAAAAAGAAGTGTCATTGACAAAACCTTCTGTACACAGGGGTAAACATATTTCCCAATATCTTTATTAAATATAAGTAAAGCACAAATTAAAATCTGGTTTTAGATGGGAGAATGAAAATTTGGCTTTTGTATTGTGCATGCTCTTCAAGCAGACTTAGTTTTAGCACAAAATCAAGTTCTGAATTGATTACTGGAAAATCCAGTTCCTCCAAAATGTACATGATTTGTAATTATCAGTCTCAGGTAAAAGAAATTAAAGAAACCTCAGCTCCTCTGGCAGAAGCTGATGTCTTTCTGTGTACTTGTGCTGATAGGACTTTCCGTTTCAGGCCTAGTGCCTTGCATTACAATGAAAACTGAGCAGTTTGTATGCCTTTCTGCCTGTTTCCCCCTGCCTTCCTCCCTGCTCAAAGTTCCTTCCTGGGCAGTTTCTCTCATTGAATGAATTTCTAGAGGGCCTAACCCAACAAGTTTTTTGAATGATACCTTGTTCATACACTCTTTCTTTTCATCATTTCAAAGAGCACCTACCGTCCTCAGTGTGTATGCTTCATTGGGACTCCAAAGAGTACCAGAATCTACCAGAAAATTAAGAGGCCAGGAAACCAAGACTGCATAAAGCTTACTCTTTGCTATCTTGTCACTCATTTTTAAAGTTCATGTTCAGTATGCACTATTTCTTATAAAGCAGGCCAATTTCTTTTAGTCCTTTCAGAACCTCATTTTAAAGCTTTAATAATAAAAATGAAGAAGCTGTATAGTAATTTATATCAAAAGAAATAAAGACAGAGTTGATTCAGCTAATCACAAAGATCTTGAATACGAAGTAAATCAATCTCTCAGAGCTACTAGATACAATGACTTTAACAAGTTAATTTGCCAAAATAGTACTAGGTTGTACCAGAAGCTAAATAGAGAAAACATAAGAAAATAAGCCAAATCTAAGTGGGAAAACAGATTTTAGGAGAAGGAAAAAGGAATCCAGTACTAATAGGAAGTGTCTATCAGAACAAGCATATTTTACCTGTCATCATCATGTGAGAATCGCCTTTGTAAATCCTCTTTATTCCCTTGCTCAGGTACATCTTGTGCTTTTTTCTCATTTTCTGATTCTTTGGTTTTCTCCTTATTACGTGTTTTTATAATCTCTTTCCCTTTCCCATTCTCAATTCTTTCTTCCTTTGCATCTTCCTCCTCATGCACTATCTCTTCATGCTTACTCCCGCCTGTCCCACCCTCTTCTATTCCCTTTGGCCTTTTGAATGCAACACAAATTGAAGGCATGCAAATAAACACACAAAAAAGAAAAGGTCAAGAAAAATGCACACAATGTTAAAGAGAAAGGTAATGAAAACATAAATAAAAATGATCTCTTTAAATGTTGAAAACTTTTTTCTAGTATATACCAGAGAAGCCCAGTGTAAGCAACACTTAATCTAAATTGTTTTAAGATCTTATTTTCCTATTACAAAGCTGCATGAAAAAACTGCAATCTCTCTCTTACGGATTTTCTTTGATCCAAAAGAAGGAAAATAATTTAATTCCAGTACCCATAACCTGGATAGGTCATGTAATAAATGCAAATTATATTAACTTATAAAATATACTTCTAAATTTTATTTTCTATTCCTTCATATAAGATTCAGAAGGATGGGAACATATCCTATGTTCCTTGAAGTTTTCTGAAATGTATTCAGCTAAAAACCCTGTAAAATAGTATTTTTGCATATTCCTTGGAACCTTCAGAAATACAAGTCTTCACTCAACTTTCACTTTAATTTAGTAAGGATACAATGACAGAATTACTTTTTGAACATAAAACACTAGCTAGTGACATTCACTTAGGTATACTAGTAAGAAAATGGTTATCAGCTTTATAAAACTTTCCTGTGCAGTTAAGTTTGAAATGTAGAGCAAAATATAGTAAAAATTGCTATGTGCAGAAGTTCTCATTCCCTTAATGACATATATTAACCTTTTAGAAACACAGGGTCATTATAATTATCTAAATTAAAACCAGGTCATCTAATCTATATTGAAAGGCATCTCCTGCTGAAGTCCCCTTACTCACCTGATTTTCTTGTTTCCTCTTGGCCGTTCTGATTGGACAGACATGTAGCTTGTGCTGCTGAAACGAGAAGCACTACTAGTCCTTGAAACCGCAGATATATCACTTACATCACTGTCCGAAGATTTAGTGGAAATATTATCTGCCCCTCTATGAGGATCCCATCCTGATCGATACTGTTAACACAGATTGACAAATACGCAGAAGTTGTCAGTATTACCACACAAAGCAATTATTAGCTTCTCCTATTTCAGCACTTTAATTGTCCACAGAGGATACTGCAAAACTCTACTCAGTTGCACACAAAACAAAAGTGAATGGCAATTATCCTAAAAGAAAAATTCAATTTATATGAAACCCTTGTTTTTAGCAAAGGCAATTAGAACATCTCACCACACCCCAATGAAGGCCATTAAAATAGTTTCACAATAGCAATGGCCTCAGGGAAGAACATTTAGGTAAAATCTGGGAAATAAACATTTGGCTTAATATTAAGAAGTAGGATTTTTATTTCTGAAAAAAGTAGGATACAGTTGCCAGTGTAACTTATAAAAAACAATTCTAGTAGCCATCAATTTCTCTTTAATCCAATATGCTTCACTGAAAACCTAGAGGTAGTACAAAGTCTAATTATTAAAACACTAACTTTTTTTCTTTTAAGGAAAACCAAGAGAAAAGAGAAAGTTTCATTTCTGAATGGTTGCTGGAATAATGATGAATCCTAGAAATACTAGAAAAAGTCATTATTATTTACAATAGTTCAAACTTCCTGGAAGTGAAACAATCGGTTATCTGGCACAGCCAGGGTGCAGGAATTCTGGGTGTTAAAATATTCTGGTAAATTGAAAACCACCATAAACGTTTTATGTTAATGACATCTGGGATGGAAAAAAAAAAAAGAACAGACTTTTGGAGGCTGGAAAACCTGAAATAAGGAAAAACTCTTACTAGTTGAAATAACTTGAGTGAGTTATTTAACTTTTAAAAGGCTGTTTACAAAATAATAGGAATAATAGTATCTTCCTTGCAGGGTTGTTTTGAAATTAGGAATAATACATGGTATCTGGCAGAATATAAATAAATGCAGCCAGTATTATTACTGTAACATTACCACTTGATGACCCTCTGGGTTAACAGAATACCTGCTAATAGATTTTTCTTTATTTATATGCATTTCAACTTAAAGCTGAAACATCTCTATCTAGTTAATTAAACAATGGAGATTTTTCTAATCATAGGTACTGGCAAATTTCACAAAGCCTAAAAAGATGATCATCTTGTATAAATTGTTTACTGAGTTAAAACTTGTAACTGAAAAAAAATAGTCCCATATAAATAACCATTCACTGCAAATATTAGGTAGCTATAAACGTTCTGTTTAAGATACACTGAATAGCAATAGTGTGTGGCATAAACAGATTTAAATGATCTGATTTATTTTTGCAGGATCTCCCATTATCTTTATGTTTTTATAAATATAAAGATATCCCAATTATCATTGTACTTTTGATCATTGACTGTTTTCCCTCAAATGTAGAATAAAGGGCTTATTTAAAGCTCCATATAATTCAAGCAGTCGATTCTTTAGAAATCACTCAGATTAGATAAGATATTGGCTTTTCTTAGTCCATTTTAACTTTTCATCTTATTATATAACTCAGTTATTGAAAATAATACAATAGAACCCTCATGTTTGATTTTAAAAGGAAGATTATTTACGTATGGATGATTTCTTTGGTGAACATTTAGATCACGATATTCTTTTTGAAAATAAAGACAATTTAAAATACCAAAAACAACTTTAAATGATAATGTCTTTCTTTAGACATTGCCCAGAAAAGTATTTCTATGGGTCTGGATACAAAGCTATCTATATCAGTCAGTATTATTGTATATGCAGATAAACACGCACACATATATACATATACATATGTACATACACTATTGTATATTTATGTATATTTCACCAAGCTTATTAAAAGTAAATTTACTTTCAAATCAAGACATAAATGGAAATCTTTCATTTTATTTATATTTTTTGACATTTCATTTATATGGAAAATGAGTGCTTTAGAACATTTTTGAATTATTACCTTATTTAATAGACACTATATTATATTTGGGAAGCTGTTTGTTTAATTGTATTATATTTGGGAAGCTATTTATTTAATTTTCACTATTTTAAAGGCTTTTCCATTCTCACAATTAATAATAAAAAGAGAAGCATCTGCTATTATAGTTTAAAAATAATGTATCATTGGATGAACAGTTTTGTTATTACAAATTGTTTTGCTCATAAGATCATCTATTCAAATGAAAAGTAATAACATTTTAACTCTAGGAGGTAGTAAGGGTAATCATGTAATTAAGAGTATATACTCTGAAGTGAACTGACCCACTGGTCTGAATCCAGGCTGCACAATTATTATGTTTGTAACCTTGCTTCTATGAATTCTAATATTTATCTGTTAAATGCATATAACAATTGTATCCTTTCCCTAAGATTGCTGCAAGGATTAAAGAAAATAATGCATATAAAGTACACAGCACAGTATCTGTGGCATAACAAGTGTTTAGGAATGACAAAGATGATGATGATGATGATGGTGATGATTAGATAGTATCTGAATGTTGACTTAGTTCCAGGGTTATCTTTACTGCAAGGAATATAAGATATAAACACCCCACAATAAATCATCATTTTTAAAATTCTCTAAGTTACAATAAAAATATTATTTCTACACATAGCCAACAGATGTACTTCACTAAATATACTTATAAGACAAAACTAAAATGTCAAACCAAATTTTCCTACTAACAACTACTATGTTACCTTCCTCATTTATCCAGATTCCTCCATATCCCATCATCTTATAGGGAGTTACTGATTTCCAGCTGTTGCAAGATGAAGATAACTTTATCTCCTTGGGTCACATAATACATGACTCACTTGTAATATCAGTCTGTTACTTTATCTTGATAGCCAAAGTCCCTCGTAGCTGTTTGCCCACTGTTGCCTTTGACTAGTTATTGTGTGACTCCTACTTTCATCTCTGAATCCTAAACTGCTTCCTTGACTTTTGAATTTCAGTGGTTAGAATTCTAACTTTGCAAATTTAGTTTTTTTTTTTTTTTTAGGTCATCATGACTTTTGATCCTGTCTTTATGATTTATACAGGCTAGCTTAAGGTTTAAGTTTTTTTTTTAACTCACATAGTATGCACTGCACATGCCTTTGGCTATAATTTCTGTCTTAGATGAATGGATGCAATATTTAAGGAAAGATAAGATTCAGTCCACTAAAGTCTTACACTACTCATAAAATAATACAAGCTCCCTTGTGTTATAGGATATGTGTATTTGTGTGTGCCTGTGTTTATGTTTAATTTGCAAACTCTCTATTCTAATTTAAGTCCCTAAAAGCCAGGACAATAGTTTCTTTATCTTTGTAATTCTCTTAGCACTTAAGAGTCAATCATTTAATTGAATTAATTTGAGATGATATTACTTTAATTGAATCAACTGCAGTTTAGCTTTAATATCAGCAAGCTAAGAATAAATTCCATTTTAAGGATTCTTAAGGAGTCAAGAAAAATAATATATTTGAAATACCCAGTAATTTGCTTAGCACATTTCCAGTGTCTAAAACAGGTTATTAAATAAAAAGACACTGATGGGACAGTTTATAGAAAGAATGTAAATTAGCTAACTGGGCTAACTGATGATTCTGTGTCTTGTCTCAGGTGTATTTCTACCTTAGGCAAATAAGCACCTGTCCCTTTGGGATAGAACTCAAGTTTCCATTACAAATAGACACACATCATAAACAGAATAAGAAACTCGCAAAATGAGAAATAATAGGAAAAATATTCTTTATAAATGAAACTTCAGAATAACATTTTAAATATTTAGAATATAACATCTTCCTATATACATATATAACCCACAAAACCCAGAAATCAAGATAATGACTAACCAGGAATTTACTTTAATATGGTTCCTTTTTCTTGTTTGTTTTTCCTAAATGTATTTTTTATTTTCCCCAAAGTATTTAAAAAGAAGCTATCTGCTTTAGTAATGATAGGGGCAGCTAAGTTAAATTATTATACCAAGTTAATGAGTTATGAATGTGAATCAAGTAAGCTCAGTTATTTAGGAAACACTGTGGTGTTCGACAATAAACAATGTTTTAAGCAATTAGCATGTATTAGCTTACAGCTGACAGATGAACAATGAAAGACATGGTCATCAATCTCTTTAATGGACCCAAAACAAAGATTTATTGCACAGGATTACATGATCTCAGCTGAAAACTATGCTCTGATGGAGATCATTACACTCTTGGAAGGGAGTGAGGAGCTTTTCCCGACAACATTTTGATGTCTTGTACATTACTATTAAGGGGATCATGAACTAGAAAAATTTACAGGAAATTATGATTCTTCAGGATGTTCCAGACTCTAAAGAGTTCCAAAGTGGCCTAGAAAAGTTAATGTTCTCCCTATTTATCTAACATTAGTGGAGAGTAATAGTATATTTATAAAGCTCTACTGAAAAGAAGGTTAATATCAAAGTTTTAGAATAATATTGCAGAGCATAAATGGGATAAATTCAGACTTCTAAAACAAAATTTCATTTCCTTCCATATACTAATTTGAAGTTCTTACATTAGGTAATTTCCCTAATTAGAGTTCTCTATGGTTTTTCACCAACTCAGGTTGTATGTCCTTGGCATATTAACTTCTTAGAAGACATGGGGGAGGGGGTTATGAGAGCTTCATTAAGCATTGCTTCAGCTTAACAAATCTTACTAGACAACTGCAACTGTTTGCCTATAACCCAAGTCCAGGAATTGGTGATTGCAACATATTGGGCATTAATAAAACCCAATTTAGAAGAAAACCAGTTTTATGCCATCAAGGAGGACATGTAGGAATAATCATATTCAGAGAGAAAACACAATGAGTAAATCAAACGATAAGGGAAAAAATGATGGAAAGTCTTTGGAAGAGAAGGGGGTGGGGTTGAAGTTGTACAGGCATCTAGATACAAGTCTGGGAATATAGACGGTACAAGAGCAGGGCACAGGGGCCGGGCGCTGCAGTCAATGAAATCAACATGATGAACAAGAAGATGCTCTCGCCTTCCCCATTATATTTTAATTTCATATCAAAAT